ATACATAAAGAAAAAATACATATTTAGAAGCTTAGAATCGATCCTTTTTCCTTCTTTCCTATCTAGTCTATTAGATCTCGATTGATTCAATTTGTTATTACCTTGAGCCTCCAGTACTTACTATTAAAAGTTTTTACATTTATTATTGCCATTATTATTGAATATTTGGCTGTTATTTATAGAAGTTTTGCACAGTGTATTGATATTTTATTTTTTCTTGGTTGTTATTGCTACTAAGACTCTGTTGTTGCAGTAATAGTATTGACATAACGTATATCATATTCTTTATTTTTCATAATAGATATGACTACAGCATCGATTATTACTATTATAGTCCCTGATATTCTTGGCATTATCAAGTATGCGTGTGTGTGTACATATTGTTTCTGTGCCTACATACACTTTCATTATTCATTTTTAGATGCCAATATATTTGGCTATTATTTGTAGGAGTTTTGTACAGTGTATTGATATTTTATGTTTTCTTGTTATTGCTACTAAGACTCTGTTGTCGCAGTAATACTATTGACATAACGGATTTCATATTCTTTATTTTTCAGAATAGATATGGTTACAACGTCGATTATTAGTATTATAGTCACTGATATTCTTGTCATTATCACACACACACACATAAATAAGTAAATATAAATATATATATATATATATATATTGTCATATACACCTTTATAAATAATTATATAAGCGAACCGTTAAGCATGAATGACCGGTGTTTCTCTCTGCGCTTTGCGACTGAATCACCCAACTGGATCGATGCTCCTGGAATGTTCCGGAATCCTCTCTGTTCAGTCTTTCAGATTCTCCCGATAACGATGCGCCTTTACCATTTTTAAAAGCGCGGCAGACTTCGTTCTCATTCGTGCTCCAGCGAGCTCGAAAGACCGAACGACCGAGTCAGAACGGCTCTCACTCACTCTGGCACGCCATTACATCGGCAAGCTGTTGTTGACATTGTTATTGTTATTGAAAATGATCTTGAAAAGCGGGATGAATTTGATAAGACGTATCGTTTGGGCTCGTTTTCGATTCCCACTTCGACCCAGACAGATCGATAGCTTTGTTAAGGTATATTAATAACGCAGACTAACACGATAATAAAAATCATCGAAAACCAAACGCCTACATCATTGATAATAATAGTAATTAATAATGGTAATAAAATGATAGTAATGATGATGGTAATATACTTGATAATAATAATGATAATAATGATATGATGATAATATAATAATAATACAATAATGATGATGGGGTTAATAATGATAATTAATATAATAATAAAATAATGAATAATGATGGATATGACCCCCAAACCCACCCCCATCTCCTTCAACCCCGCCGGAAACTCCTCACCGTAAAAGAGCAGCAGAAAGATGACGAGGATCATGAACACGGCCTGACCCAGGATGTTCCTCAGCATGACCCCGGACACGAGGGCCTTCGTCCTTCCGTACGGCTGGCGGTGAAGGAGGGAGCGCGAGGGGGGTTCCGTGGCCAGGGCGAGGGAGGCGAGGGTGTCCATGATGAGGTTGACCCACAGCATCTGCACCGTCTGTTGGGAAGGAGGGAGAAGGGGGAGTGTGTGATCTGGGTGGACGGGGCACGGCGGGGAAATGGGTGGTTGCAAGGGGGCGAAGGGGGGGGGGTGTGAAGGTGGGGCAGGGCGGGGAAATGGGCGGTTGCAAGGGGAGAAGGAATGCGAAGGAGGAAGAAGGAAGAATCGGGAAATGGATGAATAAAGAGACGGAGTCTGTGAGGTGGAAAGAGAGAGAAGGGGGAGATAGACACACTGACTGACTGCTTGATTGACTGAGTGACTAATTTACTGATTGATGACTGACAGCCAGCCAGTCAGCCAGTCAACCGGCCAGCCAGCCAGACAAACTAAAAGCAGAACAGAAACGGAGGACCAAGAGCCATTAAAACGCTTCCTCGAACCTGTCCTTACGTGTCACAAATCCCCTCCGTCTATAACTATAAGCAAATCAATAATAGGATCCTTTATCGGCCTCCGCCAAGCCTGTGATTAGGATCGAGTTATTGACAGGATGGCGAGAAGGAGAGACGGAATTGGATCCTGTAGTAACATATTAATTCGTTCAAGTATGGGGGTTATGGGGAACGCAGGGCAGTGTAGATATAGATAGAGGGATTGGTAGATAGATATCGAGATAGATAAATAAAGAGATGGACAGGATGAAAGAGAGGGCGAGAGAGAGAAGGGCGGAGAAGATGAGGAAGGAAAAAGGAAGAGGAGAAAGAGATGGACAGAGACATTCAGAGAAAAGACGACAGAGGAAATAAGGTGAGAAAGAAGAAAAGAAGAGAGAAGAGAGAAAGAAAGAGCCCTGAAAACAATACCGAATTCTTTCTCTCTCTCCTCTCTACTCTCTCTCTCTCTCTCTCTCTCTCTCTCTCTCTCTCTCTCTCTCTCTCTCTCTCTCTCTCTCTCTCTCTCTCTCTCTCTCTCTCTCTCTCTCTCTCTCTCTCTCTCTCTCTCTCTTCTCTCTCTTCTCTCTCCTCTCTCCTCTCTCTCTCTCTCTCTCTCTCTCTCTTTCACACACACTCAAAAGAATAAATAAATAAATAGCCAAATAAAAACCGATTTCCCTCCCCTTACCTTCAAAGGCGTATCGCTAATGATACAAATACTGACGAAGGCGATAGTGACTGCCACAACGTTGACAGTCAGCTGGAACTGAAGGAATTTGGCGATGGAGTCATAAACGTTTCTGCCCCACATGACAGCCTTGACGATAGAGGTGAAATTGTCGTCTGTTAGCACGATATCACAGGCTTCCTTGGCGACGTCGGTGCCCGTGATGCCCTGGGATGGAAAAGGTTGGTTCAGAGGATGGTTGGATGGCGCTAAAAAGGAGGTGGTTCAGGATTTTTATTTCGATTTAGATGAGAGAGATAATGAGGTGAGAGATGATCTAAAAGGTATAATGAGGTATAATTAGGATAAGGCGATCAAGATTAAGATAATGAGGTAAAAGATGGTTATAGAAGTTACCAGAATAATATAATGAGGTGAGAGATGTTCTAAAAGGTATAATGAGGTATAATTAGGATAAGACGATCAAAGACGTTATTAGATTAAGAGAATGAGGTAAAAGATAATTATAAAAGTTATTAAGATAATATAATGAGATGAGAGGCGATTAAAGAGGTCTCTTAATCTAAGATAATGAAGTGAGAGGTGATTTTAAAAATTAGATTAAGGTAATGAGCTAAGAAATTAATTAAAAATAAGATAATTAAGTAAGAGGTGATTTTTAAATTAGATTAAGATAATGAGCTAAGAAATTATAAAAAAATTAAGATAATGAGGTGAGAGGTGATTAGATATTATTAGATTACTAAGGTGAGGGATGGTTTGGAGAGCTTAGTAATTAAAGCGAATAGGTTATTAGGAGGTGATTTAAGAAATTTTATATTAAGATAATGAGCCAAGAAGTGATCTAAGATTTTATTGAATTAAGAGGTGAAATGTGATTAAAACGGTTATTATATTAAGATAATAGGATGTGAGGTATAAGAGGTGATTAAATCAACATAGTGAGAGATATAAGAAGTTATTAATAAAGATAGTGAGATATATAAGAGGTTATTAAATAAAGATAGTGAAAGATATGAGGTGATTAAATTAAGATAGTGAGGTGAGTGATATTTAAGGAGATCGTTGAATTAAGATGATCAGGTGAGATGCGATTAAAGAGCTAATTGCAGGAAGATGAGAGTAAGATGATTAAAAGGGTGATTAAGAAAAGATAGTGTGAGATTAAAGAAATCAACTAAAGATTATGAGATGAGCGTTCATCAAATAAGTTAATTCAACGGAAATGTTGTGCCAAAATATAATTGGCTATAGATAATGTTGCAATAGTACGTTGTTTAAATCTTAATCAAATAATGATGATGATGAGATTACGAACAAAGCAAATGAAGGTTGATTTAAGAGATAATTAAATGAAGATGAAGACTAAAAGGGATTGTCGAATAAAGATAATTACCTGGTGATAGTCAAGAGTCATTTCAAATTAATGAACCAAAATGATGGACAGACGAAAAAAAAAAAACTAATTAAAGATGTAAGTGCAGCGAGATAATAACGGTAAATTATGTCATAACTGAATGATTTCCGATATCATGAAATATCAAGTGACGAAAGAAAAATTCGTCTGTAGCACTTATTTCTCAACTAGATTAATAAAGCATTATAGTATGATGACGGCGCTATCCCACTATGTGAATAATATATGATTATTCAATAGAAGCGATATGGCTCTTCATAGCGTGACTTGCTGAAAGAAGTAAAAATAGCAAAGAAGACAATTATCAAGCTAATTTAAAGCAGATTAGATGACAGACGTAAAATAGCAAAGAAGACATGGCAATTATCAATAGATGGGTAGAGCTAGATAGCAAGTTAAAGAAGTAGATGTAGATGTATAGAGATTAAGAGTAAGACGTAGATATGATGAAGTGATATGGACAAAAGTGTAAGAAGGGGAGACAAACATGCGGTATAAGAGGAAGAAAAGGGATAAGAAGAAAAAGAAAACAGAAGGAGGAAGAAGAGAAGAGGGAAGGGGAATATGAATTATAATTATAGTAATAATAAGAAAAAAAGAGAGAAGAAGAATAGAAATAATAATGAAAGATAAACGAAAAAAATTATAAACAAAGTCAGGGATGAAAAGAACGACCATAACACTATATATGTGTGTGTGAGTATAGGAATAATGATAAAGAATAAACGAAAGGAAACAACAAAAATTATAAAACAAAATTAAGGATGAAAAGAATGACCATAACACTATATATGTGTGTGTGAGTATAGGAATAATGATAAAGAATAAACGAAAAGAAGCAACAAAAATTTTAAAACAAAATTAAGGATGAAAAGAACGACCATATCACTGTGTGTGTGTGTGAGTATAGGAATAATGATATAAAGAATAAAGAAAGGAAACAACAAAAATTATAAAACAAATTAAGGATGAAAAGAACGACCTTAACACTATATAGATGTGTGTGAGTATAGGAATAATGATAAAGAATGAACGAAAGGAAACAACAAAAAATATAAAACAAAATTAAGGATGAAAAGAACGACCATATCCCGACCATAACACTATATATGTGTGTGTGTGTGTGAGTATATACGTGTATCCATACAACAACGCCCACCATAGCGAAGCCGACGTCCGCCATCTTGAGAGCCGGGCCGTCGTTGGTTCCGTCGCCGGTCACCGCCACGACCTGCCTGGTGGGCGTGGCCTTGGAGGCGATCAGGCCCCTCACCAGGATGTACTTGTCCTGCGGCGACGACCTGGCCAGCACGCGGAGACGGGGCCAGACCTGGTCAAACATTTCTTGGGAGACCTGTGGGAGGAGGGAGGGAGGGAGGGAGGGAGGGAGGGAGGAGGGAGGGAGGGAGGGAGGGAGGCGGGGAGGAGGGAGGGGGAAGGGGTAGGGTTGGAGAGAAGGGGAGGAGGAGGGAGGGAGGAAAAGGCCTTTGTTAGTTGTTGTTTTTTTTTTGGGGGGGGCTGTCGTTTGGTTTGTGGGTTAGAATTTTTTGTCCCTTGTTTGTCCAAATTCTTAAATATGATTTTTTTTATTCCATTTGTTTCATGCTGCATTCTTTATCTTTATTTTATGTATCTTTCTCTTTATATTTCTTTTTCTTAGCTTCACGACGTCATATCTTACATGAGTATTACATGAGTACTCCATCAATACACTTAAGTATAACAAACCACTGAAAATGAGATTAATGACAAACAAATATGGGTAATTTCTCTGAATCAATTGTTATTTCTACCTTATGTTGCTAATAATAACTATTTAATTAGAGTAATTTGAATTCCTTAGTATCATCGGCTAAATTTGATATTACTGCGCTATTATTTGGTTGATAGTGTTCTGGGTATAATTAGCAGTAACTAGTGGTATTAATAATTATTTTGTAATTGGGTATGATTAAAAGGTGAGTTAGATTATCAATGAAAATTATGTGTTGGTTTGAAGTCGTGTAAAAATGATTTTCTCTTTCTTTCTTTTCCTCTTCTCTCTCTCTCTCTCTCTCTTCTCTCTCTCTCTCTCTCTCTCTCTCTCTCTCTCTCTCTCTCTCTCTCTCTCTCCTCTCTCTCTCTCTCTCTCTCTCTCTCTCTCTCATTCACTCACTCACTCTCATTCTCACTCTCATTCTCATTCTCATTTATTCTTACTCCCACTCTCACTCCCATTCTCACTCTCACTCTCATTTTCACTCTCTCCTTCTCCGTATCCCCATGTCTCTCCCTCTTCCCCTCCCTCCTTCTTTCTCCCTTCCCCTCTAATCCCTCTCACCCTTCTATCTCCCTTCTCTCTCCCTTCTGCCCCTCCCCTCCCCTCACCCTCACCCCCCTCCCTTCCCCGAACTTTGGCAATGTCCTTGGTGTCAGATATATGGAACTGATAAATAATATTGAGATGAATGTCAGTGTTTGATATCTGGATCTTACCGGGTTTAATGCAGTAAATAAAGAATTAAGCCTGCAAGATCGAAACATTCCTAAGAATCTTGGTGTACACGGGTACTCATAATGTATTGATGCACTCCCTCGCTTTTGTAGGGACTGTACAACACACGCGATCAAATATATGAGTACACACTTGCACGTATGGAGACATATGGTGTATTTATGTACTGCCTCTTTTATACAGGTTCACATGTAGATGCAGACGTACATATTCAGACATAAACGCACATGCACTGTTCAAGTAGCATCCCATATGTACACACGCAAACGATTGCCTCATTTAAATATTAGAAAAAGCAATCACAAAAAGTACAATATTCCTTTGCTTTTTTTCCTCCTTCTCTCTCTCCCTTATTCCCCATCGCCTCCTTCCTTTTTTATAATTCCCTATCCTTCCCTCCTCTCTCCTTCTCTCAGTTCTTCCCTCTTTCCCTTACCGTCCTCCCCTCCCTCCGTCTTCCTTAGCCCCCTCTCCACTCTCCCCTCCACCCCCAATCTCCCTCCCTCCCTCCTTCCTTCCTTCCTCACCCTAGCTCCTCCACTCACCCTCCTCTGCACCCTCCCTCTTCCCCACCCTCCCTCCTTCCCACACCTCCCCCATTCTCTCTCTCTCCCTACCTCATTCGCCCATCCCCTTATCCACCTTCAACCACCACCCCACCCTAACCCACCCTCCCTCACCCGTCCCCACCCACTTCTCTGTGCTGTGCTGGTGCAGCGGTAAGGTGCTGGTCTAGCAATCTTGCGGACCTGCGTTCAATCCCACGCCCGGCCAGTGAATGGTAACCCCGGCCACTCCTTGCACACAGGGGGAGATTTGGGCAAAATAAAACAGACAGCATGTCACAGCAAAGAATATCCATTGTAACAAATGGAATTAAAACTAAATCTATAAATCTATAAAATTCTCCAAGCCCTCCCCCTCCTCCGAATTCCTTACCTCGCCTTTTTCATCCCGAATCTTCTGGTTGAACTCCTTGCTATCTAAGACGAAGCCGGTGTCGTTGGGAGTTAGGATACCGCATTTGGTGGCTATCGAACGCGCTGTGTTGATGTTGTCTCCGGTGACCATTCGGACTGTGATGCCCGCTCGCTGGCACAGGTGGATGGCTTCTGGCACCTGTGGGTATAACCGTGGGGTGAGGTGGGGTGGAGGGTGGAGTGAGGTGGGGTGGAGGGTGGAGTGAGGTGGGGCGGAGGGTGGTGGGTGGGGCGGGAAGGAGGGTGGGGGTGGGGCGGAGGGTGGGTTGGGTGGGGTGGAGGGTGGAGTGAGGTGGGGTGGAGGGTGGATGGGGGTTGGGTGGGGTGGAGGGTGGTTTGGGTGGGGTGGAGGGTGGGTTGGGTGGGTGGAGGGTGGGTTGTGGGGTGGAGGGTGGGTGGGTGGGTGGAGGGGGTTTTGGGGGGTTGGGTGGGGTGGAGGGTGGTTTGGGTGGGGTGGAGGGTGGGTTTGGGTGGGTTGGTTGGAGGGTGGGTGAGGTGGGGTGGAGGGTGGATGGGGTTGGGTGGGGTGGAGGATGGGTTTGGGTGGGGTGGAGGGTGGGTTGGGTGGGGCGGAGGGTGGTTTTGTGGGGGTTGGGTGGGGTGGGTGGGGTGGAGTGGGTGGGTTGGGTGGGGTGGAGGGTGGGTTGGGTGGGGTGGAGGTGGTTTTGGTGGGGGTAAGAGTGTGGTTTTGATAGCGGTTGGAGTGGGTGGGTTTGGAGGGAGTTGGAGTGGGGTGATGGAGTGTGGTTTAGTGAGGAGTGGGTTTTATAAATAAAAAGACATGGGGAAAATGGAGGATTAGATTGAAGAGGTTTTGAGGGAGAAAATTAAACTTTCTCATTTACCACTTTGATTTTTATCAGATTCCGATTCATCTATCATTCTTTATCGATACCGTAAGCATAAATATATGACTAGTTCTAATCATTATCTCGCACCTACATGCTTTCAACACTATGATACACCAAACATTATACACAGATACCACATATAACAAATGCCACGCAGCTTTACAATATATACATATATATGTATATATACACACATATACAAGATATACACACATATATACTACACCTACTGTTCTAATCCAACTAACCCGACCATTTTTTCCACAGGTTCTTGACCTTACCTCTGGCCTGACGGGGTCTTCCACGCCCAAAATAGCCAATAAGGTCAAATTTGTCACGTTTTCGTCCATGTCGTCCCAATTAGGAGGAGAACTGCCGATCTCTACCTGTGGGGGAACAAGGAGAGAATTTTTGGCTTTGTTTTGGTGGCGTTTTCTTTTTTGAGAATGTTAGTTAATAGCAGTAACGGTGTCGATAACGAGAATTTCGATTGCATCTGGATAATGGTGATAATAAGGATAGTGGTGATAATAACAATGATATTATGATGATCATTATCATCGTAATTATCATCATCATCACCATTATTATTATCATCATCATTACCAGTACTGCTATCATTTTTTATTGTTATTGTTACTGTTATCATTATCATTATTATTATTGTCATCATCATTATCATCGATATCATCATCAGTACCACTACTAGTATTATTTCTATTTTTATAATTATTATGATTATTATTGTTACTGTTATGACCAGCAGCATCAGCCGTATTACCACTATTGCTACAACTCACCATTATCATTGTTAGAGTTACTATTATTATCATAATTGTTACTGTTATCATCGCCACCACCCTCATCACCCCACCCATCATCACCAACACCCCATCACCAACCCTCTCATCACCACACCCTCATCACCACCACCACCACCATCCTTCTCCCATGCTAACCGCCTGACCTGGCTGAGCTCGGCGTGGTACGGCACGAAGTCCTTGTAGGCGAGACCGATCGTCCTCAGTCCCTCGGAGGCCAGGCGATCGATGACGTCAATCTCGATCTTCTTTTGGTCCTCGATGGAAAGGGTCTCGACTTCGCCCTTCTCGTTCAGGACGTAAGCGCATCTGTCGGGAGAGCAGGTTGTAGACCTCTCTCTCTCTCTCTCTCTCTCTCTCTCTCTCTCTCTCTCTCTCTCTCTCTCTCTCTCTCTCTCTCTCTCTCTCTCTCTCTCTCTCTCTCTCTCTCTCTCTCTATCTCTCTCTCTCTCATCTCTCTCTCTCTCTCTCTCTCTCTCTCTCTATCTATCTATCTCTTTCTCTCTCTATCTATCTTCTGTATTTGTGTGTATTTTCTATGTGTAGGGGCGGGGGTTGTATGCGTGTGGTTGTGAGTTTATTGCGGTGTTTGCATGTGTATGTGTGTAGGGGAGGGGATTGTATGTGTAGGGGAGGTGTATGGGTATGGGTGTTTATTATATTTCATGTTATATTATGGCTATGTCTACGTCTGCTTGAAAATTAGGTGATATTGCTCTTAAACTGTATAATTTCACTTACCAATTCCTTCTTGTACATAAGATCTGTATCCAAACCCAAATTACCAATATCCTTACATTTCTATTTATATCCAAATCCACCCATTCATCACATCAACAACTGAGACAACAGAACCGAAGGCCTCTCACTTCTTCACCACGATCTCCGACGCCCCTTTGGTGAAGAGCCTGAAGCCGCCGACGCCGAGCGAGATCACCGTCGACATGGACTTCCTCGCCGAGTTGAACGTGTACACCTTGACGAACTTCTCCTCCGGGTAGTGGTTGCGGATCGTCTGGTAGTTCTTGCCCAGCTCGCCCACGAAACCCAGCAGGGCGCACTCGGTCTTGTTGCCGATCTGCTTGGGGAGTTCGCCGGGCACTTCGGAGGGGACGACCTTCGACGTGTAGTTGGTGTTGACGCTGATCCCGAGGACCAGGAGCTCGGCCAGGTTGGCGGGGAGGACTTCGTAGGTCGGGAGCGTTCTGGGCAGAGGCGGAAGCGGTAATTATTTATGCTCTTTTGCGGTTTGTTGTTTTTTCTTCAGCTGGTAGTTACACAAATGTAATGTTGATAAACAGAAAAATTAATGAATCCACATACACACACACATACGTAGAAAAGTAAAATAAGCAAACTCTCTGTCTGCAAATAAACACGAAGGCAAACAGACTGATGAAAATACAATCTACAAAAGCACAGACACACATATGCTTACTTATACGTCCGGCCCCCAATGTGCGCCGCCACGACCGTCATGCGGTTGGTGGTGAGAGTGCCCGTCTTGTCGGAGCAGATCGTGGTGGCGTTGCCCATGGTCTCGCAGGCGTCCAGGTGTCGCACTAGGTTGTTGTCCTTCATCATTTTCTGAGGGAAGGGGGGGGGGTTGACTGGTCTGTTTGGTTGGTTGCTGATGAATGTTGTATTCAGGTGCGTTGGATTTATGATTATGATTTATTATCATCGTTAGGAGTGAACAATGATCTTGGGAAGGTAGGGCCAATCTGTGGCATAAGTGGTCTCATCATGGCTCTCTCTCTCTCTCTCTCTCTCTCTCTCTCTCTCTCTCTCTCTCTCTCTCTCTCTCTCTCTCTCTCTCTCTCTCTCTCTCTCTCTCTCTCTCTCTCTCTCTCTCTCTCTCTCCTCTCTCTCTCTTTCACCCTGACGAAGAGATTGCTCTCTCACTCACCCTCCCCGACCCCCTCACCCCTTCACCCTCCCTAACCCTCCCTCACCTTCCCCGACACCCCCCTCACCCTCCCGATCCCCCTCACCCTGACGGAGAAGGCGAGCGAGATGGTGACGGCGAGCGGCAGACCCTCCGGCACGGCCACCACCAGCACCGTGACGCCTATGATGAAGTGGTGGACGAAGGTGTTCACGTGTCGGATGCTGAAGGGGAGGCCGTCCATCACGTAGGTCTTGACGCTGAACTTCACGACCAGGATGATGATGGTCAGGATTGCGATGGCTGAGCCTGTAGAAGGGGAGGAAGGAGGAGGAAGATGAAGAGGGGGAAGGGATGATGGAGCCAAGGGGATGGTTGGAGGGGAAGGAAGGAGGAAGATTCGGGCAAGGGAAGTAAAGAGGAAGATGAAGTGGAGGAAGATGAAGAAGGGGATGGTTGGAGGGGAAGGAAGGAGAAAGATGAAGAGGAAAAGATGGTTGAGAGAGGGGTAGGAAGAGGGGGAATGGTTAGAGAGGGAAGGGAAGGAGGGAAGAAAGAGGAAGAGAAAGGTGGGAGGAAGATAAAGAGGGAGAGGGGAAGGGGATGGTTGGAGAGGAAAGGAGGAAGAAGAGAGTTAAAGATGGTTTGAGAGAGGGGTAGGAAACAAAGGGAAAGGGATAGTTGGAGAGGGAAGGAGGAAGGAGGGAGAAAGAGGAGGAGGGGAGGAGGAGCGGGAAGAAATGGAAGGGATGAGAAAGAGAGGGGAAAGAGGAAAGGAGAGGACGGAGGAGAAAGAGGAAGGAAGCGAGGGAAGGGGAGAGTGAGGAAGAGACAGGCGAGGGAAGGCGGAGGGAGGCGAGAGAGGAGAAGGAGAAAGGGGAGTAAGAGAGGGAGGAGGAGATAGAGGGTAGAGGGAGGGAGGTTTGGGCGCAGGAGATAGGAGAAAATAGGAAGAGGAAGGTATAGTGATGAGAAAGCGGAATTATAGATGGAAGTTTAGGTCGAGGAGGTGGAGGAGGGTGATGACGAGGAGAAGAAGAAAAGGGAGAAAGAAAATACGAGGAAAACGACGAAGAAGCGGACAGGTTATGAAGAAAAAGAGAAAGATAAAGATAGGAAGAAAAAATATATAATTCATAAAAAAGAGAAAGGGGGACATAAAAAGAGTAAAAAAATAAACAAATCAACACGATGAAAATAACACCCAATCATTACATCATCATGTTACAATCAAAATCCCAGAGTGAAAAACAACTGCACCTGCCACTCAATCGTGACAAACGCACTTTCTGCAGCTATATATCACCGACCGTCTACGTAACTGTAAATTAGGATTGATTTCGACAGTGGTATGTACCAAGGTTAAGGGCATTTAAGTGCACTTTAATGATAATGAGAAAAGCAACGA